GCGTAGATCTCTTGTTGCGACAAGCACATGTATTCTTTAGTAAAAGGCAAAAAAATAGGTTGCTTTGTCTCAAAGATTCCAGCAACACAATCAAAATCAATAAGGGAACCGCCTCATTTTGTGGATCGAAGACGTTCCTCGACTGATTGCAAGAGCCTGCGTGTGGTCTTCATCCCTGTGAACGTCACGATGGATTGTTGGTTTTCTTTATCTTCATCAAGATTTGTAAGCAATTCAACATGGAAAATCAATAAAGCTAAAAGAAGAAGAATATGAAGAAAGATGTGTAGAAATGCATGAGAGAAATGGGTGATATGAAGAGAAGAAAACAATAACTGTTTATATCTGGAACTTCTGTTTTTTATGTCTTAATTTGGATCGTTTATGATTTATCTATCCTACTTACCAATGCGGTATGACTTAATGCTGAAAAGTAACCGACAACGTGGCTTATGGTGATATATATAGTTGCATGATCTACACGTGTTAACAATGGTTGCAGTTTTTTGATGGGTTCGGTCTTTAAATAAATCAACAACTTATATAGGGCCTGTTTAGAAACAACTTAATGAGCTCAATGAATTCACCCTTCAACTTATTCGCTCAGCCATATTATAATGTTTGAGAGCGTCTTGATCATTTAGAAGGGAGCTTACCGAATAAGCTTTTAGAAAGCACCATTATGCATACAGACACCACATTTCCATCCCTACCCTTTTGAAATACACGAGAGAGAATAGCCTCCATGCTCCTCCCATCTCCCCTCGATCGGAACCTAACCCTCCATACTTTATCCAGTTTTCTCCCTGCTCCTTCTTCCCTACTCCTCCCCACTTTGCGGATGTTGTTCTCATTGGGTATTCATTGTTAGAGGCATTCCAAAAATGGAAAGCTCTCCAAAAATAGGCGTATGCCACTTGTCGTAACGAACACACGGTATTCTTTAGTAAAAGGCGAAAGAATAGTTCGCTTTGTGCTCATCACATGGCTGCGTGGGTTTTCAAACACGTTTTCCACATGCTTCTTTATGGAACTGCTTCAACTCTAAAATGCATTCAGCATACGATGTGGGAATGAAGTTATTAACTGGTACGTATTTACTTCTTCATTCCACCAACACCAAATCCTTTGCAGAAAATAGAAACTAAAACCAAAGTATATATTATAAGTTAAGTTGTTAGCATTGCGTTGCCTTTGAAGACCGTGAGTTGTTGGAATAGGTTAGGACCGACCGAACCACGGTTCGCACCGGACAAAAAGAGTGTGCCAAAGCGACAACTTTTGGCGTTGTTGCGGCCAATAATCCAAGTTCGTCCATTTTGACATGTCATTTCTTGACACTCTCATCATGTGCCTCAAGTCACTGCAAGAAAAAGAAGACTTCCACTGATGGACGAATCTGCCGGTAATCCGTCGCTAAAAGTAAAATCTTTCTATGATCTATCAGTGAAAGTCTGTCAGAAAAAACATCGTGGGAAATGATATCACCAATGGATCACCGGCGACCCATTATTATCAACGGATCACCGATAGTCCAATTACGAACGGATCAAAGACCAACTATTTTATTCACAGTGATCCATCAGTAAAAACTTATTTTCTTTAAAAACAATAAATAACCCATTTTAGTTTTTTTTTCCTATTTATATATATAGCTTCATTCCACACATGATCAGTATCATGAATCATCAAACCCATTGTAAGAAAATTTTATATCTATACTATTTTATTACGCAAATTTAACAAAAGTCTTAAAGTCTTATTTATACTATCTATGCTATTTTATAAAGCATTTGACTAAAACTTTTAAAAACTCTTAAACCCTTCCCATATCTGAATTCGTATAACTAACTGCAGATAAACACAATCAAATACAGAATAA